TATAAAGATCAGAAGTTATTGTTGGGTCTTCAGTAAAAAAAAAGGTCTAGAATTTTTTCTCTTCTCCTCTTCCCCCATCAAATAAAAAAAGAGGGTCTATTTATAGCTTCTGGGTGAGAGGCATTTTGGCTCTTTGGTGAATAACTTCCTCAACCACCTAATTGAGTAGCCTATCCTGACCCCCTTGATTATAGAAGATTTTTTATTAATGTAATGGCCTTAATGGCCTCAAAATTTAAGAAACTTGGGCTCATTGGATTCCTCTCATTGAGAAGTTTGAATTGAATATGAATATATCAAATTTAGAGTTCATTTAACCATTAAATTAATGATCCAAAACCTTAAAAATTATTTTATTTGTTTGATCTGGGGTTGTTTGGATTTCGATCATACCAATTTTGGTATCATCGGATTTAATTTGTCTAAATAGTTAGTTTGACAATAAACTTGTTGAACTCGGAGACCTCGATGATCTTGAATTTGAATATTAAATATTTCTTACTCAAATGCCTTGACATTCGTGGCAATACTCATAAAATCAATTTATTTTATTTTGAATTTGATTGTTAGTTGGCAGGTTGCTGAAATTTGATTTTTCTAATGTGTTCCTCATACATTTTATCACCAATACTAAGAAGCATATTATGTGAGACATAAATTTGATATATAATGGTCATTCGGTGAAAAATAATTCACTTCTATGTTCCTTGATGTGTTTGTGGATGAGATAAGAACGCCGCATTTGAAGACAACCATACTTAAATTATTGAAATGAACATCCTTTTGAAGGTGTAATCAAGATTGCTAGCCACTATCAACCTGCTCTTTAATGAGACATAATGGTTTATATATGTGTTGTTCTTGAGGGGGAGTGCCACTACATTGTCTAAAGTTGATTGGTATCCACCAATAGCTTTGCATGTGTAGCGCTTATTTTCCACTCGTAAAGTCCAACTAATGCATGTTAAAGTGTTTGTTTCTATCAGTTACTACTATGTAGAAATTGGCAAGAGTTAGATAATTTCCATCATATCATGTCATATTATTTTGCATGGGAAACTAAGCTAGTAAGTATTATTAATCTTAGTTTCCTAATGTTTTCTTAACCTCAGACACACACAAGATTTTAAGTAGAAAGTGAGGCATATTGTCTCTTATATGAAATCACAAGAAGAGAAAATAATGATGTCATGCCAAGTTGAATAACTTCGATCAGAATAAAAATGCACAAGTTAGGGTGCTTCATTTTAATTGGAGAAAACATCAATACTTCGTAAAATAATAATAATAATAATAATAATAATAATAATAATAATAATAATAATAATAATAATAATAATTGATAATATATTACAAGTTGAATAAGCACAATACAAGTCTTGCATCATGATAATTGTATAGCATGTGAAGTTTATGGGACTTATCTTAGAAGTGACCACTACTCATAGGATTTCTTAAAGGAACCATTTAGCTTCAAAACATAGAAAATCTTGCATTATAGATTAAGTTTGAGAGGGTTATAGTATTCATGAAGGGTATCTATATCAACAGTAAACATTTTCCTTAAACTTATCAACAGCAAATAATGATGATCACTTCCTCTCACTATCAAATTATTTTTTAATACTGTTGTCCAAATTTGACTTGATAACCCTACCTAGACCAAGTTGGCCCATCATTTGTCACCATTGACAATGTTGCTTATTGTTGATCTAAATATACCACATTAAAAACATTGATGCCATAAGAGTGCTAGTAGTCATGAATCATAATTTTAACTGTCAACGTGTTAGGAAAAATTCTAAGAAAATTTGTTGTCTTCAATTTGTCCTCTCTTCAAGAGAAGTATCTTTTCACAAAGACTTCATAAAACGTGGCCTAGAAAAGCCTTGATGAATTCTACAAGCATCGAATGACTGGAAATCACTGCATACGAATCAAGGCAAGCCATTATCAAGCTCTTAATTGGTCAGTCCCCATGTGGCCCTTATGATAGCCCCATGATAGCAAGAGTAATGACAACTTGCTAGGTTTTAAACCACTCAAATTTCACTTATGGGCATGACCTTTGTAAGAAGTAACATGTAACTTGATTGAATTGTTTAATCCAAGCTCGACCATTCTAGGATGTGGGTCATCCTTATTCCATTTCAATCGATTTCATTGTGATTTGAATTAAGATTAATTGTCTTGATAAGATATTGCAACATTACAAATATGATTTGAGGTCTATGACAATGAATAAAAATTCATCCTTGAATAAATAAAATGGGCATTTAAATACATACCACACTGTTCTTATTATATACATATTTAACGCCTAAGCATTCATATTTACATGCATGCCGCTCAGATCCTTAACATCACATTACAAACATGTCAACCGCTTCCCTTTCAAAAATAAAATACACCTTTTATTGCACAAGTTTATAACACATATCATACTTTGGGTGTAATACATGTAAATAAATAAGAATTGTGTGGTTTGTAAGCAAATTTTCCTCATTTTTTTTTTCTGCAGATGATCCAAATCAAAGAATTTGCTAGATCTACGAAATCTTAAAAAGTTGAAGGGTCTATTTCATGTAATAACGACGTGCTGCAATAATTTATAAAGTTTAGCCAAATGACTGCAAATCCAAAAAATAATATATTTCAAGTTGGTAAGTGAATGAATAAATAAGTTCTTTGAAGTTATGTGTCATTCTCTTGCGCTGATGACATCTTCTTATTATGAATGTGCTCCATATAAAAATCAGTCAAATGTAATTTACTATAGCTCATTATTTTGGAAGATTTACATACATACCACTCAATTTCTATGTATTTACATATCTGGTATCCATACTTATATGCCACCTTACCCATGCATGAGAAAAAATAGTGATATATATATATTGTGATATAAAAGATTTGAATGAAATGAATGTAAAAAAGAAAAATTTATGTGTGCGATATGTAAAAACATGCATAGGAGTTTAGTTACGTGAACGCCCTTATTATTTTATATATCATCAAAATGACATTTATAAAAGAATGATGCGCAGGACATACGAGCTAATCAAATTTTCAGAAAATTTTAATTAGGTGTGAAATTATAATATTATAGTTATAGAGGAGAAAGTTAGTGTAAAATGCCCCATCTCTAACAAATTATAGATATTAATACTTTTATATCATCAAAATGACATTTATAAAAGAATGATGCACGGGACATACGAGCTAATCAAATTTTAGGCAAATTTTAATTAGGCGTGAAATTATTGTATTAGAGTTATAGAGGAGAAAGTTAGTGTAAAATGCCCTATTTCTAACAAAATTATAGATTTTAATTCTTGCAAATTATAGATATTAATACTTTTGTTTCAATATTTCCCATATGGACCTCCAAATTCCAATATTTCCATCAAGTGCATACTCAACAGGTCATTTTTGTAAGAAAATAATGGCTACAATAACTCCTCTCATGTCTTCTCAAAGTTCTTTCTCCTTTCCACATATTACTCTCCAATAGCTTTTTATATGCCTCACTTTCCCCATCTAAAACTCAAATTTCTTCACAAAAATTGTTAGTGTTGGTGTGATAAATTCATGGAGATTGGTCTAGTCTACTTAATCATGTTTTTGGTGATTATCTT